CCAGTTGGGGGGGGGGGGGGGGGGTGGATACTCGCTTGGCCTGCATCACTAGCATGTCTGAGTAAAGAGTCAGTCACAAAGAACATACTAGGTAATTACGTTGTGTTGGAATACTTGCATTTTTTTGAAGTTCATTGTAATAAACAATTGGCACAGTTTAAGTGTATTTGGAAAGAAAAATAGTGGATGTGGGCTGGTGATCAAAAAGTGTAAATGCATTATAATAACTAGAGACTATTTATAATGGCTTTTAAACAAATTTCTAAGTACTCCTCAAAGGAGATTGAGTTTGGGGAAGGTGTCTCGGGCCAGGTGGAGACACTGGGCTGAGGGGGGCTGGTGCTTGGGGCAGGGAGCCTGTGAGGGGCTGCTGCTCCAATCCAGGTGAGACAGAGTCAGTTCATACTCAGCCCACCTGCCCTGGGCCCTAACCGGGAATCAAGAGGGCAGGTCACCTGGATGAGGACAGGAGGGAGGGTGATGTCGGAGAGCCCCTTCCAGGGACCAGGCTTCGAGGGGACAGCAGATAGTGACCCCAAGCTTACCTCTGGGCGTGCCCCTATAATTCGGGCTCTGCCTTGGCTGGCTGGGTGACCTTGGACAAGCCCACTTCTTTTTCTCTCTGCTATGTCTCTAGAAAATGAGGGTAACTCCCTCCCACACAGCGGGGCTGTGGAGAGTGCTAGTTGCCTGTCAGGGGTTGTTTGGACCAGGAGACTCCACAAGCAGTGCCTGGCCCCGGGGCTGCCTCCTCCCTCTGAGCCCCACCCTGGACAGGCCTTCCTGGAGTGGGGGAGGGGGTGTCTGAACTTGTCTTGGAGGCAGCAACTGATTGTTCTCTTCAGACCCCTCCCTGGCAATGCCAAATCCTTGGGGCCAGCAGATTCTGCCCCCAGACCTGTCCAACCAGTTGTTTGGGAGGAGGGGGCACCTGGGAGGGGTAGCAGGAGGTGCCAGAAGCAGCTTCCCCCAGCCTAGCACACAGGGCAGAACTCCAGGGCTCTGGTTGCTGCAGACGGACCCTCACACAGACAGACGGTTGGACACTTGGCCTGACTATGGGGTTCAGTAGGGGACAGTTTGGGCTGCTGACGCCACCGTTGCTGCTGCTGACCTGCCTCCAGCTGGGCATAGGCCTGGGTAAGTGAACAGACCCCATCTTCCCCAGCTGCCTCCTAAGCCCCAAATGTGGGGACTGGGTCCTGGGTGTGACAGGAGAGGCAGCCCACCAAAGAGGTCACAAGACAGACAACTGTCCCCCCCCCCCGCCCTCCCGCCCCATGATGGGAGATCAAGTCATACTTTCTTCCTCTCTTTGGGGTTCTCATCCTCATGCACTCTGTGCCCCCACCTCAATTTTCACCAAATGGCCCCCCTCCTTCCTTGCCCTTAACCTGGAAAGGTTAAGGTTAAAAGAAGTCTCCAAGGACAACTCCAAAATGAAGCTCTCTGAGGGGGCTGCAGGCATCGTTCATCGTTGGCTGTTAAACTAGAGGGGCTTAGAGATACAGTCCCCCCATCTCTGCTGCTCTACTCCTTTTCCCTCATTAAATAAACATTAAGTACCTGCTGTATGCAGTGTGCACCGGGCCTCAGAGATAGACCTGGGAGCTCAGAGAAGGGAGGGTTCAAGCACTGAACCTTGGGAGTTAACGCAGAATTAAAGGGAAATGAATTAAATTGACCTGAACTGAACGGAAGTGGGAAGAGGGTTCTGAAGATGTGCATAAAAGCTCACCTCATTTTTCTGGGGTTCTCTTGTGTGTGGAGCTGGAGAGAGGAGGAGCACTGCTGTCAAGGCACCCAGTGAGGCGTAGGGGTTCTGAGCTCCCCCGGCAGGGCTGGACATGCACACAGGGAGGCTTGGGCTTCTTGTTCCCCCGAGGGACTCCTGGGGACCTGTGGGTCTGGGAAGGAGCCCTCACATGTTACCTGGGAGATAAGTTGCGCCAGCTGATGCCTAGAGCAAACTGTGGGNCTGTTGGCAGCTCAGCGGCAGCTCAGCTCGGGCCGTGAATCAAACCGGGGACCCTGTGGCTCAGAGCTCAAACTCTTGAGCAAGCTCTTAACCAACTGAGCCACTCGGCCGGCCCCTGCATTTGTTTATTTACTGTTTATCCATCCCAAACAGGGTGTCAGACTTGGGTTTTTTTTTTTCCCTGAGGTACCGCAGAGCCTGACACAGTGCCTGGCACAGAGCAGTGGCTCTACGATGACCTGCTGGAGAGAAATGAATGGATAAAATGCCTGCCCTTTTCCCAACCCCACTTCTCCTTTAGAGCTTTTGCCTGCAGCACATGCCCACAGTGGTCTTGGCACATAGCAGACCCTCACTAAACATTGTGTCAGTTGCACTGAATGTAACAACTGAAAAGGTCTCAGTGTTCAGACCTTCAGCTCCCCAGTATGGGGAGAGGCAGATTCAGAGCCGGAAGGACTCAGCTCCAGGCTCAGTGGGTCAGGGACGAGCCAGGGTACCCTGCCTCTTGGCCTCGAAATTGTGAGATTTCACTGAAAGGAGGCATTTACCTATTAAAAGAGTTTCTGGTTTATAATTCTATGTGTATGATGCTTTAACTAGACTGGGGAGGCGGTGAGCTGCCTATTGCGAACTGTGTACAAACAGACCAGGAAGGGGCCACACCACCGTGCAGCAGAAAGATTCAGGCCCAGGGTGGGGTTGATGAACTGTGAGGTCTTTCCCCTTAGATATTAGCACCACAGGTCTCTGTTGGGGTCTGGCAAGTGGCCCGAGGCCAAGCTGACGGAGGGGGAAGAGACCAGGTCACCTGCACTTCCCCTCCCTGCTCAGACAAATTCCCAGGCCACAGATTTGGGGCCTCTCTCTGCTGGAGGAGGGCGGGGAAGAATCTTGCTGGATCTCTCCGTGCACCTCCTCAGGACAAGGTGTGACGGTTGCCAAAGGAACCTGAGCCTTGTTTGGTGACAGAGGTTGGGTGGGCCTTTGGGAGCCTTTAGCCAGCTGCCCCGTACAAGGAGGTGCATGGGAGCCCCACCCCATCCCATGAGTCACCCCAAAGGCACACAACAAGGTAGGTCCTTGGGAATAAACAATTCCCCAGGGCTTGGCATCCACCCTATCCCACCAGCCTGGCCCCTCTGGACATTCTGGGCCATGCCCTTCACATTGGGCCTCACTGGGGCTGGGGGTAGCTGGACAAAGAAGAAGAGGGGACACAGCAGGGAGGCTGGCCTTTCTCCAGAAGCTAAGACATGCTGGTCATCAGCCTGATACTATAGAACAAGATGGTACCCATGGGCCACCTGGCCAGATCCACACAGCAGGAAGGGGTCCATATTACCAGGCAAAATGATTTTTGAGCACAACTATCGTGCCAGACCCTGGGCTCAGCACTGGGGATATAGTGGGTAACTAAACAGATGCAGTCCTCGCCCTTAGGGAGTTATAGCTTAATGGAGAAAGAGGCATTCACCAAATAATGATACAGCCAACTGGTGACTCATGATTATGAGGAACTGTTTATCCTGTGGTAGAGTGAAACATAGTGAAAAGTTAGTGACCAAAACGATCCTTAAGTTTGTTTTCTAAATCATAGCAGCGCTGGTTTCTGGTGTCCACGCCTTCAAGCTGTCGGTCCAGTAACGGTCACTTCTCTCCCCTCCTGAGCTTGTGCCAAAGCCCCAGCGCTGACCCAGGCTAGGAAAATGGTGGTGGGTGGAGGTGGGGTCTCCAGCCTTCAATCTGCCCTGGTCCCCCTTCTTGTTGTTGTCATTTCTGCCACCTAGTGGCACTCTTGGGAGTGGCTTACTCTGGTGATGTCCATTTATCCCCAAGTAGCAGACCCCTGTCCAGGACTGTGGGAGGGCACATCCCCCAGCCTGGCCAAGTGTTTGCTTGTCTCCTGTCTGGCTCCACTGCTGTCACCTGAAGCAGCCCCAGGATGAATGCAGGACCAGGAGGGACTCCTGGGGACCTGTGGGTCTGGGAAGGAGCCCTCACATGTTACCTGGGAGATAAGTTGCGCCAGCTGATGCCTAGAGCAAACTGTGGGNCCTTGTAGCCTGCTTCCCATAAAAGTTTAAGGACATGATATGTACCCTGCATGCAGTCATCGTAGCTCTTCCTGGCTAGTAAGAGGTCATCTACACATTGGAGCAGTACACAACCGGTTTGGCTGGCTGGAAAGGGCTTTAGGTCCAAAGCCAAGGCAGCCCCGAAAATGGTTGGGGAGTTCTTGAAACCCTGTGGTAGCCTTGTCCATGTTAGCTGGCCTTTGTCCCCATTTTTAGGGTTTTCCCACTGGAAGGAGATGAGTGGCTGGCTCTGTGGGGCCAGACAAACACAGAAGAAGGCGTCCTTGAGGTCCAGGCAGATAAGTGGGTTGCTTCAGCTGGGATGAGGCCCAGAAGAGTATATGGATTGGGAACAACTGGGTGTAGAGTAACTGTTGCTTGGTTTACTGCTTTCAGGTCCTGCACCGGACGGTAATCTTCAGTTCCCGGCTTTTGGACTGGAAGCAGAGGTGTGTTCCAAGGTGACTGGCAGGGATGAAGAATCCCATATTTTAGGAGTCTGTCCAAATGTTTTTGGATGCCAACTTGTGCATTGTGAGGGATGTAGTATTGCTTGTGGTGCACCGGTTCTGCCCCAGGTTTTAGCTCTACAACTATTGGGTTCGCATGTCGTGCCAGGCCCGGTGGGTTGTCTTCTACCCAAACTCCCAGTATTGAGAAGGGGAGTTTGGGTCCTTCTTAGAACTCTTCTACTAGACCAAAGAGTTGCCACTCTTCCTCCCAAGGTATGGTGAGGGACACAATCTTAGCCCCTGATTTGCCCAATGTTAGCTCAGCCTTGCCACTGTGGTTAAAGGTGACTTGAGCCTAGAGTTTTCCTAATAGATCTCTTCCCAATAATGCTACAGGGCAGTCTGGTAGGTAGAGGAACTGATGAGTAATTTTTCGGCCTCTAAGGGTGTATTGTTGAGGCTGTAAAAAGGGCCGACCGACCCGTCCTCCCGTAGCACCCATGATGGTGACCTGTTTTTGGGAGAGGGGGCCTATGGGCCGTGTCACGATGGAATGTTCNCGTGGCCCACATCCGGGCCTGGGGTCTTGCTGAGGACCTTCCTGTGTCCTCTCCCCACTCCTCCCAAGCCATTCATTCCTCTCATCAAGCAAATCAATCTGGACCATGTGGGTGGAGCTGGAGGGACTTGAGAAGTAGGTAAACTGAGGCCCAGGGAGTCAGAGCTCAAGGTCACTGGGCATCAGTAGGATTCAGGTGCCTCCAAATGTGAATGTTACCCCAACAAGGCCTAAGACCCCTTCCCCAGAACAACTGAGCCTGCAGCTGCAGGGAGGGGCCTCCTGTGCCTCTAACCCCCTTTCCTGGGCCTTGCCCATCACACGGAACCCCAGGGACGCAGGTAGGGCAGAGCCAGATGGGCCTCTCCCTGACCTCTCATAATGCCCACCCCTAGTAGGCTGCCAAGGCAGGGGCAGGGCTAGAATCAGGCCACCCACCTATGCCCCATGGGCACAGAGTTGTCAGGGAGCCCTCCTGATTAATGCCTGATCGGAGCTGCCAGGAAAAACCTTAGCTCCTCTCTCAGCCTGGGCTCCCTGGACCGTGTCTCCCCCTCAGACTGGGATCCCAGGGCAGGGCTGTGCCCTCCCGCCTCAGTCTGGGCTGTGGAGGTGTGTTTGTCCTGCTGAGCCTCTTCTCTCTGCTCCCCATGGACCCCAGAGTGCATCCGCTATATGCCCCAGCTCTCAAATGCCACCCTGGCGGCGACACTCACCCAGACCACCTTTACTCTGGAGCAGCCGCAGGGCCGGTTCAGTCACCTCAACATCTCTGACTTTGATCCCATCTGGCTGGTAGTGGCTCACAGCAATGGTGGGTGCCATTCGGGCTGGCCTTGGTTTTCCCTCTGTGAAATGGGCAGGGCACGTGTGAGAGGAAGTGCTGCGGGGGATGTGGTGGGGTGTGGCCTGGCGGGACAGGCTGGGGCCCTGCCCATGTGGCCCCCACTGTCTAACCCACATGCTACCCTCAGCTGTCCAGAACTTCACTGCCCCACAGAGGGTGGAGGACACCCCGGTCCCTGCCGACTTGCCCCAGAGGGGTTACTACCTCACGCTGAGGGCCAACCGGGCGCTCTACCTGAGTGGCCAGCCTGGCAACCAGCTCCGGGTCCTCCGCGTTGGCAATGACACCAGCTGCTCCCCAAAGACAAGGGGATGCAACCACCCTCTGCCGGGCCCGGGCCCCTACCGGTGAGCAGCTCTGCCAGACCCTGCTGTGGCGGGTGTGCTCCTGCCTGTGCCCAAACCTGAGCCCAGGGCAGCTCCCAGTTGGGTGCCTGGGTTCCCCGCTCTAGTTATGCCAGTGGGAGGAGGCCTGGGTGAATCCCGCCTTTCTTGAGCCCCTTGACTTGAGTCCCCACCCCCATGGGCATCTGGATGCTGTAGGTGGTGTCTCCCCATCTAGGCAGGGCATGCCCCAGAGAGGGACTGGCCCCCTGACCCATCTCCCCTCACTCAGGGCTTGATTCGCTGAGGTTCCCTGCGGGGGGATCTAGTCCACTCCACACGTATTTCCCAAGTTAGGACACGGAAGCCCAGAGAGGGTTAGGGATGCACCCATGGCCACACAGCTGGGAAATGTCACAGCTGGGACTGGAGTCCCTGTGGGTGGGCTCCAAAGCTATACTTCAAACCCCAGTCTGTGCTCCCCTACCTGCCAGGCCCTGGGAATCAAAAGGACAGACCGACAGACACCAGGGCCCAAGGGTTCTGGACCCGGAGACCCCCATCTCCAATGCTGGGTCTCCTGTTCAGAGTGAAGTTCCTGGTGATGAGTGACAGAGGACCCTTGGCTGAGACACAGTGGTCCAGTGAGACCCGTCTGCAGCAAGGTATGGGGCCAGATCAGTGGGTCACACATTAGGGCTGGGGGCCTGGAGGGCTCCTGAAGACCGGGGGTGGGCTACCCTAGTCAGTCAGAGCCATCATTACCATCCTGCTGTCTGTAGGTGCCCCTCCCCCTGAATGGGGTGGGGGTGGGGAGCCTGGAGACCCCCTTCTGGTTTTAGGTCCCCCTTCTCAGGTCAGATCAGATCTCTTCTCTCCCTGCACCTGCCCCCCCCTGCCCCGCCTACATATGGGGCTCCCTCACTCCCCTCAGCTGAGGCATTCCAGGCTACCCCAGGGCCCCGGAGTGCAGGCACTGTGGTCATCATTGCCATCCTGTCGGTCCTGCTGGCTGTCCTTGTCACCACCCTCCTCACCCTGCTCATCTACACCTGGTAAGTGGACAAGGCTTAGGCTGCCCGGGCCCCTGGGAGAGGTGAGGTCCCTGACCCAGACCACCTTTATCCCCTTCTCCCTTCCTCACTTCTTCCACAGCAGCCCCCTGCCCAGGACCCCCAGCCCAGCTCCCCTTGCTAGCCATGCTGGAGTGGTTTTCCCTGAAGGCCAGGCAGGGGTAACAGTTGTTGATGAAGGGATCCCCAAGGTTCCAGAACCTCTTAACCTCTCCCTCCCTTGTCCCTCTACCTGCCACCTGCCCAAGAGGCCCACGATTTCTGAGCGGGCACCACAGCCCCCTGGTGGCAACAGCTGGAATTGTGAGTGGGGGCGGGAAGCCGGCACTCCAGCTGGGAGTCACCCAGGTAGAGGTGAATGCTTGTAGGCCAAACACTGAGCTTTGCCTTAACTTTACATTCAGAGCTCAAATGCCGGGGCCTGGTGGAGACGGGGAGGCCACAAGGCCACCTAGAGGAAAGCTGGTCCCTGGGTAGGATGTAGGGAGAAAGGCGAGGAGGTTTTGGACAGCAGGGCAGGGCAGGGCAGGGGCCTTGCTTCTCAGCTGAGGAAGTGGCTGAATCCTGAAGGCCAGAGGGAGCCAGTGGTGGGTTTTGATTAGGGGAGACAAGCTGACGATGTTTTAGAGGCATCCTGGGGGTGGTGAGTGGAAGATGGGGGCGTGGGAGCTGGGCGATGACAAAGGGCAGGAAGAGGGGAACTGGCTTTGTGAGGTTTAGAAGAATAGACTCGTTTCCTTGGGTTAATCCAGCCAGGCCAGTGGGGCCTCAGTTTCTCCAGTGCGTCTAAGCCTAGAGCTCCAAGCTCTAGTCTAGGCAATAGCCGGAGGACTTTGCTCAGACCCTCTGTTCATTCTTTCTCCCTCTCTCCTCCCTACGCCACACCCAAGCTATAACACCTGTGGGAGCACCCTCATTTCAGGACCAGGAGAGTCGGTGTACATGAGAAGATATAACCCCCACCACGTGTTTAGCCCTCCAGCTGTGAGGGGCTCCTGAAGGGCTCCAGGGGGCTTCCATCTTCCCTTCAACCTCCTCCCTGGTCCAGGCTGCAGAGCCTGAGGTGGGGGCGTGTCCTGCAGCTTCCAGAGCTCAGAAATAAATGTCCCCAACACCCTTTTATATGTCTGTGTCATATACACCTGGGTAGTCTCTCCACCCCCTGTCCTCAGATCCTCTGAGTGGGGATGGAGTTGGGGGGTTCTCGGGAGGATATAGCACCAGGGCTGAGGCCCAGGGTCCTAGGCCATCTGAGCCTCTAGGGCAGGACAAGCCTCTCTTTAGGCCTCAGTGCCCCTCTCTGTAAAATGAGGATGGTCACACTGCCCAGTGGGCTGTGGTGAGGCCAAAGCACGGAGGTGGACAGCCTCACCCTACCCTGCATGTCTGATACTTGCTGCCCCCTCATGCCCAGCATCCGACTCGTGGCCCGTCTCTCCAGCTGGCCTTACCTCCTGGCTGGAGGACTTAGAGTAGTCCTCCTCCCCGTCCTCCAATTCCTGCACAAGAGGTGCAGTTTCTAACCTTCACCCACCCCTGTGCTCATATGGGCCTGGGGAGCAGGAAGTGTGTTTGAAACTCAGCTCCTTGAGAGGTCTGGGCTCAGCCCAAAGCAGACACAGCACCAGACCAATTCCAGGCACCCAGCATTTTCATCAGCTCCACTCCGGGCCAACCCTCACAGGCTGAGGTGACTCAGGCAACGTTCTGCCCTCCAGTTGCCCACCACTGTGCAGGAGGAGAGGGTTACCACCATGCACAAGAATGAAGGGAACTCAGACATCCGCGAGCCAGAGGAGGCTTCCTGGTCAGGTGTGGCCTTGGAGAAGGGGCACCACTGTGCTAAGTGGACACAGGAAGCATGCCCAGGCAAGAGCGACAGCTTGTGCAAAGGCCTAGAAGCAATTGGGGACTGCTGGGTGGGCAGGTAGGGAGTAGCTGGAAGGTGGGGTATAATGCGGAGGCCGGAAGACGCCCCATACCAGGTGGAGGGCCTCACCCCGCTGGGATGGGGTCAGGAAAGGAGGGCGCTGGCTGGCTTTTCAGGAGCCTGTCTCTGGGTGGTGCACATGGCCCTACTTGGTTTATTAGCTGGGTGCAGACACATCCTGCTCCTGCAGCAGAGGAAATGCTTACATGACCTTGGGGGAGCCAGGCTGGGAGGGGTGGCGAGGGGAGGGGGCAAACAGACTTCCAACTTCTGCCTTGGTCTTTCCACAGCCTTTTCAGAACAGCCACAAGCCCCGTACTTGTACCTGGGTGACCCTGGACACATCACTTACCTTCTCTGGGCCTCAGTGTCCCCTTATGTAAAAAGGGAAGATTGAACTGGGTGATTCTAAGGCTTTGCACTCCACAAACTGACACCCTGTGTGGGTCAGGCCCTGGCAGGAAACAGATGGCATACCATCTAGCAGGGCAATTGAGAGAGTTTACAAAGGTGTGGGAGGGAAACCAACAGGAGAGGGTAACCCAGGGCACTGATGGGGTCATAAGCACTTCTGTACCCGCAGGGCTGAAGGGAGGAAGTGGTGTTTTCAGAGCCAGTGAACGGGAGCCATGGGCGAGGGTCTGCCTGGCAGAAGCGGGGGCTGTAGGTAGAGGGATGCAGCCTAGTAGAGGAAGCTGGTGAGAAAATACCCCGTCCTCTCTCCCGTGTTCTGGTTGCACCCTGGTGCCTCCACTGATCACACCAGGGCAGAGGGGCCTGGATGGAGTGGTCTATGTCCCAGCCTCCTGGGCCCAGAGTAGGACAGAGAAGGGCCAAGAATGAACTTACAAGCGTACTATGAGCTGTTTATTACAGCACTTCTGACACCAAATATGTGGGTTTTCTCACACCAACCAATTCTCCAACTGTCCGGACACCACTGGGAGTCCTACAATTTAACTCAGTTCTGACACTAACAACCTGGAGTTAGCGCAGACCCCACAGCTAAAGGGCTCAGTCCCACAAGACTGCCTCCACTCCAGATGCCAGTTATAAGTAGAGGGTGCCCACACTTTCATCTGACTTGGTTATAAATCAGAGATTCCCATGACCACCACTTCAGTTTCAATAATTTCCTAGAACGGCTCACAGAACTCAGTTTATTGAGTATTACCAGTTTATGACAAAGGACTCGGCTCAAGAACAGCAAAATAGAAGAGATGCGTAGGGCAAGGTATGGGGGTGGGGGTGTGCACACTTCCTTGCCTGCTCAGTGCAGCACTCTCCCAGCACCTCAATGTGGTCACCAACCTGGAAGCTCTCCAAACCCCACCGTCTAGGTTCTGTATGGAGGGTCCATCATTAAATCATTGTCCATTGGTGATTGAGCTCAATCTCCAGTCCCTCTCCCCTCCCAGGAGATCAACCCTCCAATCCCACGGTTGTTTCCCCTGTTGACTAGCCAGCATCCGGAAGCTATCCAGGGGCTCACCTCATTAGCATAAACTCAAGTAGGTTGAAAAAGGCTCATTACAAATAACAAAAATTGCTCCTCTCACTTTTTTTTTTTTAAAGGATTTTTGTTGGGGAATTTGGGAGGGAAACAGTGTTGGGGAATTGGGGAAGGGGAACATTGTTTTTATCCAGGATCCATCATCTCCAAGTCAAGTTGTTGTCCTTCAATCTTAGTTGTGGAGGGCGCAAGCTCAGCTCCAAGTCCAGTCGCCACTTCCCATCTAGTTGCGGGTGTGGGCGGTGTGGGGTGGGAGCCGAACTGGCAACCTTGCTTCTAAGAGCATGTGCTCTTACCAGCTCAGCGGCAGCTCAGCTCAGGCGCAGCTCACTGGCCCATGTGGGAATCGAACCGGCGACCCTGTTGCTCAGAGCTCACACTCTTAACCAACTGAGCCATATGGCTGGCCCTCCTCTCACTCTTACTACTGAAAATTCCAAGGGTTATAGGAGTTCTGTGCTGGGAACTAGGGACAAAGACCAACTATATACAGCGGTTTCCCCCTTATCCCCAGGGGATATGTTCCAAGATCCCCAGTGGATGCCTGAAACCAGAGATCCCTTTATATACTCTGTTCTTTCCTATACAGACATACTTATTATAAGGTTTAATTTATAAATTAGGCATAGTAAGAGATTAATAACAATAACTAATAATAAAATAGAACAATCGATCTGATAATTGACAGAGCTACTAAGTGACTAATGGGAGGTGTTGGGGTGATTCATATCCGGGTGGGACAGAGTGGGACTTCATAACACTTCAGAATGACACACAATTTAAAAACTTATGAATTGTTTATTTCTGGAATTTTCCATTTAATACTTTTGGACCGCAGTTGACTGTGGGTAAATGAAACCATGGAAATCAAAACTGTGAATAAGGGGCGGGGGGGGACTACTGTATTTCTCCTTGTATCACAACATCACAGAGGGGCATAGGCCCCCTTTGTGCGATCTTGTTATGGACAGAAAAGGGGCCACATGTTAAACCTGACAAACTCAGGAGACTAAAAATAATCACAGAGGATGGCATGAACATAAAAGTTCCTAACTAAGGTGGGCCAAGGCGGGAAGTCACATCCTTGGCCTATGGCTTCCTTGACTTTACCTTAAGCCTGTCTGTGGTCTTTTTGCATCTAAGATAACACACCCTTGGAATGTCAGAGTAATCCCTTTTTCTGGATCCCCCAGGGGGCACAACCCACCACACCAGAGCAGGAAATGACAAAATCCCTCATCGTTATCTTGTTCCCCAAATACCATCTCTATGTGCTGTAAAATGCTATTAATTATGCTGTGCCCACCAATGTAAAAGAAGTGTGTGTCTCTCCATTTTACTTTTTATCCAATCCTAGAGATTTCTCCGCTTTGCTTTCTCCCACCCCCTTAACCTACAACCAATGGATTTCATGTAACCCTCCTCCTTTGATTTTAATGTATAAAATAAGTTGCAAAACTGCCATTTTCTGGAGCATTTTGACAATCCGTTGAGACTTTGCTTCCCGGCAATTGTCATCAGTTTGGCTCAGATAAGCTCTTGTAAGCTTTCTTTTAGCCTGGATGCTTTTTCGTTGACACTGTGGAGTCAGACCCTTCGTCACCATTGTAGTCTCCAGCCTGGAGAGAGGCCGACAGATGACCATAGAGTCCTGTCCCACACAGAGGGCTGCCTGAGGTCAAGGTGGAGTGTGCAGAGGGGACTCTGCAGGAGCTGATCCCTGGGTGTTGGAGGACAGGAACCCTGGTTGCCTCTGACTGGATATCACAGAGGCCCCTCAGGCAACCACAACACGCCCACAGCCAAACCCAGAGCTGCCTCCAGCCCTGCACCTCCTCCTGGTTTTGTGGTCCTCCAGGTTCCAAGCCAAATGCTACAGAAGACCCCCACTGGGGACATTCAATATACACAGCCTGGACCACAAAGACTTAAGCCACCTTCTTGGGACCTGCCCATGCTCAGCCCAGAGCCCAACCTCAGGGGCTGGGACAAAGCCAGCATAGTTTGGGTGGGATTCTCCTCACCTGAATTCCCACTGGGACCTCAGCCATGCCTGGACTTGCTTCTCTGGGCTCTTCTGGGAGCCTGGAGCGCAAGCTGGTTGGGTAACATTGACCTCAGGGTGTGGCCACACCAACCCACTCAGCACTCCAGCTCTAAAGGGCACAAAGCTGGGGAAAACAGACTCAGGGACAATGGTCTTGAGCCATGAAGTGACATCCAGTGGACTACACATGACCTGATATCAGCTGGATAAATGGATAAATGGATGGGGGGAGGGGACATGCTGCATCTCTTGCTGCCTCTTGCTGCCCCCTCACATCTGTCTTTCTGTCTGTCATCTGTCTGTCTGTCTCTGTCTCTGTGTCTCCCTCTCTTATATTTCCTTGTCTGTTTCTGGCTCTGGTTCTTAACTCTATTTTTAACTCAGACAAACCGTGAGAGCTCTCGCTTCCTAAGGGGAAGCCGTCTGCTGGCCCAGAGATGGGCACAGCCTTTCCCCAATAAACAAAAGATGAAATCAGAAAACTGGTTTCAGGTTTAGGCCCAGTAGGGCAAAGGGGCAAAAAGTGGAGTAGAAAGGAGAAGGGGGAAAGAGAACGTGCATCCGGGACCGGGTGGGGGGCCATTAAAAGCCCATCACTCCAAACTGGCAGGTACAGAGGGGGTCGTT